AAAAAAAAAAAAAAAAAATAGAAAAGAAAGTAGAAAATAGAAAAGAAAGAGAAGAAACGAAAAAAATAAATAAATAAATAAATAAAAGTAGAGAAAAAAAAAAGGAGAAACGAAACAGGAAAAAAAAAAAAAAGTAAAAGAAACAGACGTTTTCCCTGCTTATCATTTTTACATAGACTCTTTATGTATCAGAGAATGCAATGCAAGGCTTTGTGCCGTGCCATTTATCATTTATACATAAATCACACTCGCTCTAGTCCTATTCTTGTACATACTACACACCCTTGGTCATAAACAGTAATATCGAGACACCGATGATATACGTTGTTATACGGGTTTTACATGAACTCTTTTTTTTTTTTGGCTGCGGCGCTCGCAGGCTTACCACTGATTGCTCATATTTCCATTCGATGTCATGTCACTTTTCTCGGAAGTCAGGTACACAAATAAGTGCGCAAACAGCACTGCGAAACGATAACGGAGAATATCGAAACGGGACAAAGGAAAACAGGGATAGCGAGCGTATGCACAACGCGGCTACTTTTAGTTTGTGAATCACACGAGCACTGTTGTAATGGTATTACGACCGTTTTCTCACCGATCATTGGTCACGTTCGCCTTCTGTGTGAAGCACTGTGTTAATAGAATTCACGCGAAAACGAAACGGAATTCGTTCATTTCGCGATCATCATCGAGACGAAAAACCATAAAAAAAACCATCGCATCACGTGTACAACATAGATATAATACACGTTATATGTTTTCCATACGCGGCAACTGATGCAATCATATATTCCCTTGGCATCGTTCTAATCGATACACTCATATATCGTTACCTCGATGTGCCATTTTTTTGTCACTTATTTGTGTGCGTGCCTCCTTGTTATTTATCACTATCATGAGATCATTGCTAATTTTTGTCAATTATTTTGCCGATCGATCGTTTCGCATTTAAAGTGATGGGCCCAATTCAAATTGCAAGCTCGCTTGTGGACGCGGGCGACTAGGCAGGGGTGAGTAAGCTGGCGGCGCGTCGCATGGCGATGCGTGAGAAAGAAAAATTTAAAAAACCAAAAAAAAAAAAAAAAAAAAAAAAAAGGGGGAAAAAAAAAATAAAAAAAAAAAAAAAAAAAAAAAGAAAGACGAAATGTCTTCACACGTGACGAACCCGTCGTTGATAAATGAATTGGACGTCACGTGGCTAATTCGAGCGAATAATATCATTATATGACATAATTTTGACTGAACCACGACTGTGTTTCCAAACTAGGTAAAGTTTTACAGAGTGAGTGAGATAAGAGGCAGGGGCGGGCGTCGTCGGCCTTTAAACCCCCCGCCACACGTTACCCCTCCACCTTTGGTTGTGGACCCACTTGACAACAAGCTGTGCAATCGTTCAGAGTCAATTGATTGGATTTGGTGGATAATCCAACGTACGTACATATGTCGTGAACAAAGCAAAGAACAAATAGATCTGTGAGAATAAGACGAAATACTGAATCAAGAGGAGTGAGTGGGGAGGCATAGAGGCTACTGTAGTTTCGGAACACAGCCATGGTCTCCCTACCTCCCAGGTACATGGCAACATCATCACTGCTCTTTCTCTCTCTCTCTCTCTCTCTCTGTCTCTCTCTTTCTTTCTCTTTTTCTTTCTCTATCTGTCTATATTATATTTTCATTTCTTCGCTTATTTTCCCTTTAAACCTCTTTTTTTATTATATATCTCCGTGTACCTTTTGATCCCTCTGAATTAAAAATATTTCTTTCTCTTTCTTTCTTTCTTTCGGTTTTCACTTTGTCATCCGGGTCACATACATTCTCTCTCTCTTTCTCTCCTTCCACTACGGCTCATGTGTTCATTCATTTTTCACTATTCACCTGTCACTCGACATGCCTTGCGTAAATTTTCTTTCTCTTTTTCACTTTTTCACTCACACAATCACATACACGTACAGACTATCTTTTCTCTCTCTTTCTTTCTCTCTTTATTTCTCTCTCTTTCTCTCTTTCTCTGTTTGTCTGTCTCTTTCTTTTCCCCCCTTCACTTCTTTAATTTCGTTCCTGATTAAAAACCACCTTTCTGCTTGGCTGTGCACATCGATCGATAAGTTTGCTAAATCTCCTTCGATCGAGAGATTTCTAATCGTTCATCATAATCTATTCGTTATATTATTTATTCATGTATACATGCAACGTTCAAATTAAAAAATCGTGCATCGAAATCATATTTTCTATCCACCTTGCACATTCCCGCATCGTGTCAGTAGAGAATCACGCTTCGCGCGTGCCGAAGCTGTCTCATATTTATGGGGAAAACGATCGTGATATTCGTGATTGAAGAAAGAGGAAAAAAAAAAGAAAGAACAAAGAGCAAAGAGATGATCTTTTTTTTTTTAGCGGGGAAAAAAATTCGAAATTCACGGGTATTTTATACACTAACTTACTTACTTACTTATTTACTTATTTACTTACTTATTTACTTACTTACTTACTTACTTACTTACTTACTTACTTACTTACGGGGAAATATAGTTTTCATCTCTCACTTTTCACAAACTTCCATCTAATGTGCACAGCTCTGACAATTATATGTATATATATATAAAATAAAATATATATATATATTTAAATATATATATATCACAGTAGTGTTTCTCACCTTGACACTCACCCACACACAGTTTTAGACGTGCTTTTAGTGGCGTTTGTACGTTGTGCTATTTTTCAATTTATAATATATATATATATTTCTATGTTCGTATATACATAGACAGAATATGATATATGTATATAATACATATATATGTGTCTGTATATCTCTGTTTACACGCTACTCGTATACCCAACGTTTTCCTTAGCTGCCGAGCTACCGCTGGCTCGCTGAGATTTAAAGCACGAGAGAAGAAAGCATGCGGTGTACGTCGATACACCCGGTATAAAGTAGTATATTATCTTTTTT